TATATATATATATAAATCGTCAAAGTTATCAGGAGAATATATTCCGACAAGAGATAACACGAAAGTTGAAATACGTCATGAAGTTTATCGTGAGTGTTACCACTATCTTCAGGAGTATAACAAAATGTCACTAGTTTCAGTCAGATGGCTTTGACCAATGAGGGCATTATCATGGAGTTTTTTCATGGAGTTTTTCCATAATTTGGTGGAGATTGCATCGTCCACGTGTGATGATTAAGGTTATGTTTTCTATAAACACATCAAAAATAATTTATATGTGAAATTAGATTTAATTATATAGAGATAAATTATGGCTTCGTATCGTATACATAACATAAGATTTTACAATTTGGAGCCGAAGTCGGTGACCTGCCTGTATCATGAATCGAAAACGAAAAAGTTAGCCCTTGCAAGGTAATAGCAAATTTAGTAATTTAGCAAAGGTAAATGTAAAAGTAGATAAATATTTTGAACAATTAAATACTCAGTAATGATATTGTCACGTTAGTTAACAGAATATACTGTTTATATATTTTTTATTGCCAAAGTTATGATTAGGTTATTTCGTTGTATGTATTTAGATATTTTATATAAATTGGCTTTTTCAATACATTAATCTAATGTTATATAAGCAACTGAATTTACTATTAGATAATATATATTAATACTTATGACTATATGTATTTAATGTCAGTAAACTCATAAGCTTTATATAAATTTATTATGGCTATCTTCTAATATTTCTTTCCTTTTTGAAGGAGCAATAACTCTATAGAAATCTGGAATGTGGAAAATGCACCATTTATTGAATGTACTATAGCTGGTCATGCCGAGAACTCAGTGGAAAGTATACTCTGGATTGATTCCAGACTGTTTTCTACAGGTCTTCAAGGTGTGGTAATTGAGTATGATTTAAAAACACTGAGTGTTAAACATGAGGTCATAGTGATAGGAGGAGCAGCATGGTGCATGGATGTAAATCAAGAGAAGACTTGCTTGGCCGTTGGCACAGAGGATGGATATATCAATACTTTTACTGTACATAAAGATAAACTGATTTATGAGAGAATATTTGATAAGCAGAATGGAAGAATTTTATGTATTAAATGGGATAACACAGGTGAGATGATTTATACAGGTTCCACAGACACCATCAGAGTATGGAGTGCCATATCTGGACATGCAATACATAAAATGACAACTTCTAAAAATAATATAAAGGAAGAGACTATAGTTTGGTGCCTTGCAGTCACCGATGATAATATAATAATATCCGGTGACTCTCTTGGCTTTTTAAGCTTCTGGGATCCTCAGATGGGAGTCCTAATAGAGTCTCATGAAAGTCATACAGCTGATATATTAGCTATCACCTTGTCTCATGATATGAATGTGGTATATTGCGCGGGTGTAGACCCAGTTGTACGGAGCTTTTGCAAAATTATCATGAAATCAAGTGGAAAACCTCAATGGGTGAAAGGAATTGAGAGGAGATTACACGTTCACGATGTCAGAGCACTTGTAGAAGCTAATGGAAAACTTTATTCGGCTGGGGTAGATGGGTACCTTGCTGTATCAAGTTATCCACCAAAAAATCTTGTAAAATATCCTCCACTACTGCAATCACCCTGTGCCATAATTTGCCGAAAATCTAGATGTATCTTATTACGTTATAGAAACTATTTAGAATTATGGAGACTTGGTTCAGCTACTAAAGATCCTCCAGAATTAGTACGTTCTTCTATGCTGCATCAATTGGATGAAGAACCCATAAAGCTACTGCAATTACAAACAAAGGGTGACGAAAGCATCATCTCTTGCGCCATTAACAAGGATTCGAAAACTATCGTGTACTCGACAGACACTCATGTCAGAGTTTTCAATTTTGACGTGATAGAAGGAGATGCTATGTTATGTAGAAACGATACTGATTTGTCTATGAAACGAATACAAAAGATGCTTTTTAGTCCAAATGGCAAGTTATTTGTCACTATTAACAACGACGGTAATGAGAATACTGTAACGCTATTCAAAGTGGATAAGAAGAGCTTGAGTTTGATTGGATCGTTCCAGACGACGAAGGAATCCATTGAAAATATCAGTCTCATGTGTTTTTCTCCAGACAACAAGTATCTTGTATGTGCAGATCGGCAATGCGGAATTGCCATGTATTTTATTGGTGATGGTATAATGGCAGAGTCGCTCAAGGCATGGCGATTACCCAAGTATAGTTGTCCAGCGACGGCAATAGCCGTGCAAAAACATACGCTAAATCTGGTCATAGTATATTCTGACCATAAGGTAAATACAGCTCAATATATATGGTACAATTTAAAATGAGTAAACGCGAATCATGCATTATGTTCACGTTAAAGTAACTGACTCGAATATGCACTATCATAAAGTGCTACTGTGCAACGTTTAATGACCTGCGGCAGTAAAAATTCGCAATTTACTGTTAACTACTATGGTTTTATTTTTACGCGACGTTACATATAATTGCTCTGTAATCCCGTTATTGAATTATCCGTTCATATAGACTTTATGAAGTTCTACAGTTTATTACCTTTTAATATAAGCAATATTAAATTTTAAAATTTACAATGAGATATGTTAAAAAATCGTATAATCTAAATTAAAAGCCTTTGAAATAGTAATTCTAAAATTAATATCTTGAAACGGGCACAATCGAAGTTTTCAATATTTTAAGATATCTATTAAGATATCTATTAAGATTCTTATTATTAATAATTATGCAAATAATAATTCTTTTTCAGATCGTCGAATACAATATTCCTACGAAGAGTTACACAGAGTTTTCTAATCATTTGCAAAGCCGGTTATCGAAGCAGTGGTTGGCGCGTCCATTCCCAATAACAAACATTATATTCGACCCACGCAATGAAAATATTATAATCATGCAGGACGATTTAAGCGTGT